GTAGTGGAAATTTTGAGTAGTTCGGAGAACTGGTAGTAAAAATTCTGACTGGCCCCGCCCCCATCCATTCTCTGCCTCCCGAGTCCCAGCTGATTGGGAGGAAATGGGGATTTTACAGTATCCTTCCCCTGGAGTGGGATGGGAATGGAGATTTTACAGTATCCTTCCCCTGCCACGCCCACCAAGCCATGCCACGCCCACCAAGCCACGCCCACAGAACCGGTAGTAAAAAATTTAGAAACCCACCACTGCCACAATCGCAGACATCATTGGAATTCCCCTGTCTGGTGTTCCCCTCCCAGCAAAGCAGGAAGTGGAGGACGATGCTGCTGTGTGTGGAAGCATGGAGGAGAAAATTTGCAGGAAGCAATTTCCTCCAAGTCCAACTTCTGTCTTGACAGATCTCTGGAGAGCAAGAGGAGGTGGCAAGGGAGCAGCGGTTCCTAGTCCTGCATGAGGAAGACTGGCCCTTTTCGAAAGGGAATCCCTATTTCCAGTCGTGTGTGGTAAGAATGCTGGTTTGTGGGGGCAAGCTTCCCTCACGCAGCTTCCTCGCTGCCCCCCTCCACCCCATCCTCCTCTCCAGAGATCTGTGAAGGCAGAAGTTGGACTCAGAGGAAACTGCTTCCTGCAAACTTTCTCCTCCATGCTTCCACATGCAGCAGCATCATCCTGTGCCTCCTGGGGCGGAGGGCAGGCAAAGCTGGAAGGAGGGATCTGGAGATCTCCAGCAGAGGAAGATGAGACCAGGGCAAGTGCCAAAGCCTAGTCCACCAGAGGAGTGCGTCCCCAGTGACGGTCTTGCCCCGCAGGCCGTGTTCTGAGCACTTCCCTTTCACCCAGGGGCAACACCCAAACGGGCCATGTTGGAATGGGGCCGAGGTGGCAGGGGCCGAACCCTCGCTGTCTCCAGAGCAGCCCCATTAGCTAGATCTAACCACATCAGGGGCCAGATCTGGCTCATAGGCCTTGTGTTTGATATGTCTGCCATAGAATAACAACTGTCTCCCTTTACCTGAAGATTGATAACAAGGATGAAAATGGTAATGTGGTGTCTCCTGATGGTCAATAACTGGAAATGCCACACAGGAAGTACGCTGTGTAAAAATAGAGAAATCTCCTCCCTTCAAGTCTGGAAGTCATGCAAAAACCCTGCATATGATATGATATTAATATCTATATCTCTCTGAAAGCTTAAGGGGGAGTGGACTGAATCCACCTACCTATTCTCTGAATACAGGTAGTCCTTGACTTAGCAATAGCAATAGCACTTATACTTATTTACCACTTTACAGTGCTTTACAGCCCTCTCTAAGGAGTTTACAGAGTCATCCTATTGCCCCCAACAATCTGGGTCCTCATTTTACTCACCTCAGAAGGATGGAAGGCTGAGTCAACTGCCAAATTGTAGGCAGCCAGCAATCAGCAGAAGTAGACTGCAGTACTGCACTCTAACCTCTGCACCACTGCATCTTAGAACCATAATTGAGTCCAAAATTACGGTTGTAAGGAGTGCTATTCATTAAATAGATCCCCATGTGACTGTGACTGATTTTAGAACCCTTTTTGCAGAGGTAAACACCAGTTTCCAGCAAAAAACAAAACAAAAACAAAAAACATTGTGGTCATGTAACAACAGGATGATGCAAAATGCTATAAATTCAGACTAGTTGCCAAGCCCCCCAATGCAACCATGTGACCATATGGGGGAGATGGCAGTTAGAACTTTGAATCTGGGGCGTAAATTAAAGACTGCTGTAACATTGGATGGTAGCTACAGATAGTGAGGAGTATCTGTAGCTACACAGCATAGGATAAAGATTCTTCCCTGGTTTATACAGACCCCGAACTTTAATACTTTTAAAGGAGACCTGTTTTTTTAAAAAAATAAATGTAGATATTGACCATAATATTCAAAATCAAAAATATATTAATCTCATGTGATCACAAAATGGGCCTTTTCCGTTGAATGACCTTCCTACAGACATCTATCTCATATCTAAGTTATAGCCTTTACCGGTTGAAACTGTCATTTTGCCATTTCTGTTAGTGCTTCATATTTTTCATTTTACTCTGCTACTTTCTATGTTGGTTTTATGTGATGTTCTTCATTGCATTTGATGATGTATGTTTCAGGGAGTACAGTACAACATTGTCCCCATATCTTCATACATCCTGTTCTGTCCTAAGGACTAAACCATTCATCAGATACTCATTGTGATTCTGAAAGACTGCCATTCTCACAAGATTTCCCAGGGAAACACTCCAACTTGTAGGGAACTGTACTGTTTAGAGATTTTTAAAAATCTGAAATAGAACATAGAACATAAAATAACAGGGTTGGAAGGAAACTTGGAGGTCTTCTGGTCCAATCCTCTGTCGAGCTGGATACCCTATACTATTTTGGACAAATGGTTATCCAATCTCTTCTTGAAAACCTCCAATGATGGAGAAACCCCAACTTCTTTAGCAAGCCACTCCTGATTGTTCTCAGAGTCAGGAAATTTCTCCTTAATTCTAGATTGGTTCTCTTAAAGATCTTCTAATAATTTCCCACCCATTATGTCCTGCTCTCAGGCACTTTGAAGAAATGTCTACAATGTGGTTTAAGGAAACTCGATCTTATCATCAAACTTTGTTGTGTGAGTATGTGTGAGTCAATATTGAGCCTTGGCAATTACTTGCACTAGTTTGCCCTTGCCTTCTTCCTAGGCTGAGAGAAAATGACTGTTCCAAGGTCACAGCTGGCCTTGTGCCTAAGGGAGAATTATGATCCCCTGTTCTCCCAATCATCAGAGAATCAAAATAGGGCTGCTTCAGATTTGGACAGTACACTAAACCACAAACCTTAGTTACTGTGGTATCTAATAGGGTAGCATATACATGTTTGTTAATAGAGATTTCTTTCAAAATTGGTATGCAATATGAACAGGGCTATTCATATCTGAGGAAGAATTGGTTTACCTGCATGGCCAAGGCACACTTTTTGGGGTGAGGGATCTTCCCTGTAGACATCTAAGGGAAAGTCTACTGCCGTGGCTAAGGGAACATCCAAGAAGACAGAAAGAGTTGTCATAGCACAGTTTAGCTAAGATAAAAATGATTTTTCAGACAGACTATTATTCTGTTGAAAACCTGGTCTACCAAGTTCTAGTACAGCTTGCAGAGTTCCTAAGGCAACCGTTTCCTGGGAAACCAAATATATTTGCCCTTCAACATTCTGAACTAAGTAAAAGATAATGCATCAGAGAAGGTTATCAGTCATGCTATTCTGCAAAAATGAACATATATTTGCTCATCTGGTTGATTGGCAATGCCAGAGACCATGTATACACTCCTAATTCCACATATATCACTGCACTAGCTTTAGATTTAGGCCTTGTTCACAAATTGTGTTCAACCATAACATGGTTTAATTGCTTTTTGGTACAGCAACTGGTATGAGCCCAGCCCATATATTTTGGAAGACATGTCTTTAGGCTCCATCTCCTCTGGTGATTTTTTCAAAACTGACACATTGAGAAGCTACTGGGATTACAACAGCACAAATTCTCAAAGCTGCTGGCTCCAAATTTTGAGGAGGAGGAATCCGAGACATACTTACCGGTACCTAGCACCCTGCTTACAAGAGGCCTATAATTAGCCAATGACAGACAAACTTCCACAATTAATAGATGTTTTGTAGTACAAATTCAGGTGATCCCTATCCAAAGCATTGGCAAGCAGAAATGAAGCTACAAACACCCTACCACAATCAAAATATAGAACACTACATTACATTGGTCTATCAGGACTCTCATGTTCTAAACCGGTTTGCTGTTCATAATATACTGCCGCTAATGCAGATGGATTTAATGTTAGTTGGGAATTAGTTATTTATTCACAATTAAACTAAGATATTATTGTCTCTTGCCTCCGTGATCAGGTGGCCAGCACCCAGTTAAATGCCAATCACTGGGGTATGCCAAGAGGAAAGAGATGCTTTTAGAAGTATTTAGTAGGTTACATGGGAACATAACTTTAGGCTTTTAATTCAACAGTGTTCGTAGTCCACCAGGAACAATAAAAAGGAAAAATTCCCTTTGGGTCTAAGTGAAAGACGTTTAATTACCATTTTTAAGTACCTATAGAACCTCAGGTTGTGCATTCCTGGGGTAAACTTAGCTTGGGATGAGAAATGGTGAAGACGTTGGGGAAGAAATGGAAGGAAGAATAGACAAACAAAGAGGTAGTAGATAGATTAGTTGACAGTTTTTCTCTTAAATGGCACTTTGATCCTATTGGCACAAAATCTGGGAAGAAATATTTCCACTCATTCCAAGAAGAGAGGACAGAAGGAGGGAGGCAGGCAGGAAGTTTTCTCTGACAGATTCCAATATTGTGTATTGATCTCTAGCTAGCATTAAAGATACCACGCTAAAATCTGTGTGGTTCTTATCCAATTGCATGAGCTGGACAACTGGAGTTCTAGGAGCCATGCCTGAGAATGTAGCAACCTTTATTTAACTTATATCATATAATATACCCTATCCAAATATTAGATCTGAGCTTAGGATCTCTCCAGACCAATACCATAGTGGGAGCATTGGTAATTGACAAGGATATAGTCATGGACTGCATTTTTTTTAAAAAAACATAAGACACCTTTTATTTCAGTTACAAACATTTTCCTTCAATTTACCCAGAAGGTAATCGAAAGTAATTTAGGTTGGTTATCTGTATCTTGAGTATGTCCTGCTGTGATTAGGACTGTCCTACCCATTTTTGCCAAGTGGGGCCCTAGACCTCTTCCCCACTAAACCTAGATGATCACCACTATTGTTCATGAATATGGGCAGTGAAAACTGCTACCCAGTTCCATAGCATGCTTGCTTGAATCTGATAAATAACATTGGCTTGAGTCACTATCAAAAAAAATAGTCACTGGTAATATCTTGAGCATCTGCCTTTCCCAACCACCCATCCAAAAAGGAGACCATGGTAGACCCACAAGCAAACAATTGCTTTTACTGCAATACATTTTTAATCAGGCTTCTTTAGAATAATCCATTGGCAGGAACCAGTCCCAACTCGATTCTTTGGCAGATCTCCTTCAGTTAATACTTGCTGCAGCTAGGAAATTTGATTCGATGTCTCTTCCTATGGAGAAGAAATCCAAAGATCACTCATACAACTCACATCACAGGATTGTTGCTTTGAAGAAAATAGGAGGAGGATGGATAATTAGGCATCTTTGGTGCCTTGAGTTATTGATAAAAATAATAAAGGCAATATAAAAATAAATAAATCAGGACTAGAACTCACAGCATCCCAGATTCTAGCCTGATGCCATAACACTGGCTTCTACATCAAACTGGCTTCTCAGTTAGGATGTTGCCTATGTCCAAATGGAACTTCATGGTTTGTACAAAGAACCTTCCTTTTCCATCTCAAAGAAGGCAGCCAAGGAAAAATCACGCTCTACCAGAGGGAAATCTGGAATTTGAAGAACTAGTCTTGAGAATTTGTTTCCTTGGTCATAGAATAATTGCTATGGTGAACATGGCTTATCCATGTTTATATTACATTGCCCCATCTCCCCTAGGTTGCATTCTAAACCAGTGGGACCAAATCTACTAATCTTGGTTTTTTTCCTAAGCGGGTGAACACTTTGGCAATGCTATTGAAAACCACCCACTGGTTTTATTTATTAAGAAAGCCTGTGGAACTTATACAACATCTAGAGACCTTCTTGGAAATAAGGAGGATGCAGAACACTGATTCATTATTTCTCAACAAGCTAGCTTCACTATTATTTTTAACTGTAAACATATGTTTAATAAAAACAAGCAAACAAACAAACTGAAGCCAGAAGAAACAGGGAAGCTTGTGAGTTCTGTGGTCACCATATTGTCTAGGACAGACACAAACTTCTGTTCTTTCCTTTCAAGTAGCATATGGGGAATTACATGCACGTTTTCTGTCTCCTGATTAGTAATCAGTATGTAAGATCTCCTATCTTGCTGTTTACAATGACATTATTATAGTTTACAATCTTTGAACTCAATAGCACCCTAAAGCCAATTAGAGAGATTGTGGTGATGAGCTCTTTATGTAAATGGAGAGCAATTAAGCATCAGGACGTAAATATTAATAGAATCAAAGGAATAGAATTTATTTATTTAGAAAATGTATACATAACTACTTATCTTAAATACAAGTAGTCCTTAACTTATGACCACAATTGAGCCCAAAATTTCTTATTAAGTGAGACATATGTTAAGTGAATTTTGTCCCATTTTACAACCTTTCTTGCCTCGGTGGTTAAGTGAATCACTGCAGTTGATAAGTTACTAACCCAGATGACTTGGGACACAGCAGCGGTCATAAATATGAACCAGTTGCCAAACTTCTGAATTTTGATCACATGATGTTGGGAATGCTGGAAAAGTCATAAAGTCATTTTTTTCAGTGCTATTGAAACTTTGAATGTTCACTAAACAAACTGTTGTAAGTTAAGGAATGCAACCATACAGGTGGATAGATTTTAGATTTTTTTTTTAAGATGGTAGAAAAGTCTGGAAAAGTAAGAAACTTAGCACAACTGAATTTTATCAATCCATCCACCCCGACTATGGAAACCCTTCATCCATAAAATTGATCTAACTCACAGCTGGCATCTCCGGACTTGGTATTTCTTCTTCATCAAAGCTGTCCTCATCAACATCGACATCATCTGGAATGTCCTCATCTGTCGGCTCATAGTCGGTGTCATCTTCCACTTGCAGGAGAGAATTACAAGGCAGTACTAAACATAACATCCACCACCACTGGGCCCTTTTGAAGAGCATCCCCTCCTTTCCCTTAGCACCCAAAAACGTTCTGGACCACCAGCAAGAGACGTCTGAAAGCTGTGTGCCTAGCAGTGCACTTAAGGAGGCAGCTGGTAAACCTTCCTTTGATCACCGTTAGCTCAGCCACCGTCCTCAGCACCAACAAGAGTTCTGTGACAGTTAAAATGAACCCATGGACAGAAGCAGCAGAATGGAAGCCAGAGCAGCATGTGATGTCACAAAGGCAGCTAAAGCTGGGGTGTTTTTTTTAATGCTGGGAGGAAAACAGAGGATAACAGAATAACTGAGTTGGAAGGGACCTTGGAGGTTTTCTAATCCAATCCTCTGCTGAAGCAGGAAACCCTATGCAATTCCAGACAAATGGCTGTCTAGTCTCTTCTTAAAAGCCTCCAGTGATGGAGAACCCATAACTTCTGAAGGCAAGCTGTTCCATTGGTTAATTGTTCTCACTGTTAGGAAAGTGCTCCTTGGTTCTAAGTTGCTTCTTTCCTTGATTAGTTGCCATCCATTTTTTCTTGTCTTGCCTTTTGGTGCTTTGGAAAATAAGTTGACTACTCTTCTTTGTGGCAGCTCCTCAAATATTGGAACACTGCTATCATGTCACCCCCAACCCTTCCTTTAGCTAGACTAGACATACCCAATTCCTGCAATCGTTCTGCATATGTTTTAGCCTCCAGGCCCCTAATAAATGGTTATCCAATATCTTCTTAAAAACCTCCAGTTGGAGCACCTACAACTTCTGGAGGCAAGCCGAAGCTTGTAGTTATTGGCCAAATTACTTTGACTGAATCAGGTTTGCTGTGCCTCAATAGGTTTCATTGGGTTCTGCTTCATAGGTGTAGTCCCAGACTTTAGACACTGAAGCCCAAGAGTAAATCTGTGTAGGAGTATCAAGGTTCATGAATTTTAATTTCAAACTATTTATTTTGTATTCACATGTAAAGGGTTGTTCAGGATGCCTTTCTAATCCACTCTTGGTTTCATTCCTCATAGCAAGATCTCTCAATACCATAGTAGCTTCAATACTGTTTTAATCCCTTTTATTCTATTTTTAATACATCGTCTGTCTTTACCTAGCAATATTTCCAGTTGACCAAATATTAAATAAATTTAATAAATATTAAATAAAGTAAATTCATATATTAAAATGCAAGAGAGTTAGTCTTTTTTTCTTTTTAAGGCACTTTTTAAATTGTTTTCTTTGTTGTGTGTCTTTTTCTTCTTTTTCTTTTTAAAAATATTTTGGCATTTTGTATTTTAATCTTCTTTGAATAAACTAAAAATTTCAGATAAAAAATGAAAGTATATTTTGCTTTATTGTTAAGACTGTATAAAGATACCTGACTTGTTCTTCTATCTATACCAATGTGAAAAGGTACTATTAATGTGTTTTTATAATTAGCCGAAAAGAACAAAATCATGGAATTATCTAAAATGGGGATCTAAGTACAGTTAGAAATATTAACATATAAATTGAAACCAGTTGAAGACGAGAAAAGATATTGATTTCTATATAGTATGATTTTATAAAGCACTCATGTGTGAGTATTATTTGCTTGTAAAATGTTAAAATTTTTGATCCTCTTAAATATTACAGTTTGTACAGCTGTTAACATTTAACAACTCAAGCTCTGAGCGTGTCACTTTCTTTAGCAAGAAAAGACATTAAGTGTCAATATCTTTTTGATTATTGGCTTAGCTATTTCCTGCTTTGAATAGGAAATTTAAAAATGGTTCATAAACTGGATAAAGAATAAAACATTACACTTCCCTGCAGAAGGGAGGGGGGGAAAGCAATAGATGCCTGCAGGAAAGTAAGTTAAATAATGATTCCCCCCCCACCCCGCTCCTCAAAACCCTGTTAGCTGAACAAATTAGACCACATAAGGGGTGTTTAACCATTCTTTTCATACTCATAAATTTGGCATGCCTATATTTGTCTGTTGCAGTTAGGATGATGAAGCAGCTTACAAAGAGGTTTTTTTATTTTTTTTAAAAAAGCCCAAACTTTGGAAAAGATTAGACACCCCTTCTCCTGTCTATCGCTTCAATTGATCATCTCTCCCCCACCATAAACCTTTGATTTCTTTTTTAAAAAGAAAGCAAAGGCCTAGATAGTGCTATTTCACAACACAATTATAGTTAATAACCCATCACAAAATACATATCATCATTTCCCAATTTTGTGACTAGACCAAAACATCAATAATCTTTCTTGTGATGATGGGATTAAGGGTTTGTTCCACTTGAGGGGCATCAGGTTGGGGAAGGTTGATATGCATGGTCTTAAAAAGCCATCATAGATTCATATATTAATTATGTCAATCATACTTAGTTTTCCCATTCCTTTCCTACATTGGAATTTGGAAGCTGTATGCAGCTGTTGGCAATGTTGCATTGAGCAATAATTCATTGACAACAAAAATTGGATGGATTAGCTGTCATGGTGTTTTAGCTGCTGCTACATATACTCTCTGGAGATACAAACATATTCTCCCCATACTTTGTATATTTTTACATGAAATAAGAAAACTTATTACTTCTTGGTTGTTATCTAGGTATACAGATTAATTCATCTACATCTCCTGGTGGTTTGACAAATGAATTTCTACATACAGACTCTAGGTCACATCTCCTGATCTAATTATCTACTCACTACTTCCCAGTCTCTTCTCATACATGCATTTAAGAGACATGGCTTCTACTTACAAATCAGGTGCTGCCCGTTGAGATATACTGGACCCATTCCTGATTTTAGGATAAAAGAAACCGGGGGGAGCAATTCAAAGCCATCAAGACACACCTGTTATAAAAAAACAGATGCCATGTTTCAGAATGCTGCTCTTATCATTCCCCTACAATATATGTAGGATGCTGATGAATATATTGTATGTTTATATGTACATTGATTATATTATATTGTTGTTTGTATGTACACTGAGAGCTTCTGCACCAGAGATAAATTCCTTGTGTGTCCAATCACACTTTGTCAATAAAGTGTTCTGTTCTGCTGTATTCTGTTCTATTTTCTATTCCATTCCATTTTGTTCTATTCTATGCCATACCATGCCATGCCACGGCATCTAGTCCTAGTCCTAGTCCTAGTCCTAGTCCTAGTCCTAGTCCTAGTCCTTGTCCTGTCCTGTCCTGTCCTGTCCTGTCCTGTCCTATTCTATTCTATTCTATTCTATTCTATTCTATTCTATTCTATTCTATTCTATTCTACTCTACTCTACTCTACTCTACTCTACTCTACTCTACTCTACTCTACTCTTGTGCATTGCATACACTACACTACACTACAAGCTGTCCAAATACAGCTGGCATGACATGTCCAAATAATTTTTCATCAGATGTTGTCTAGTCAATAGCTCCCTAATGCACTTTAAGATATGAGTGCCTAGAAAACTACCTCTCCAAAGATTGTCCAAATTGTTAGTTAGGAAGACTTCTGAACCATTTGTGAAGTATGCACAGATATAAATTAAATTAAAATAAAATAGCACAAGTCATTTAATATAAATTTAAAATAGCATAACACACACCCCCTCCTGCATTCCCCTATGCATTACCATTGGCAAGACAGAATGTTTCAATGATACAATGGGTACTGGCTCGGGAACACTGGCCATGTTTCTAGATTCGACAGCCACCACATGGGTCTCATCATCAGCATCTTCCCCCAGGGACACCTTGATGGTAAGAAACAAAAAACAGCCCTTTCTGAGTATTTATATAGCAGCTTTTACAGAACTTCATACAGGGCTGCACTGAAGCCTTCACAAACCTTCCTGAACGTCACTGTCTACCATTCTTCAGAGTATGTAGAACGGGGAGCATTTTCAAAAACAGAAGCATTATTTAAGGCACTGTGGGAGCCCCCACAAACATTGGACTCCAGCCCCCATCATTTTTGGCATTTGGCTATGTTGACTGGGGAGGGTAGGAATTGGTATCTATGAAAATCTAGAAGGACACGTATTCCACATCATTAGTTTATGAAAAGGAATACTTTCCAGAAAAATGTGAAGAATTATGTCTAGAGGTTGCAATAATGTTGGAAAGTTATTGTTGGAAATCTTGATGCTCTCCAAGCTTAGTTGTTTGGTTGCAACTGTTTTATTATCTGCACACAGGTAGTTCTCAACTTACAACAATTCATTTAGTGATTGTTCAAAGTTACAATGGCACTGAAAAAAGTGACTTATGATTATTTTTCACACTTATGACCATTGCAGCATCCCCATGGTCATGTGATTTACATTTGGATGCTTGACAACTGACTCACATTTATGACCGTTGCAGTGTCCCGGAGTCATGAGATCCCTTTTGTAACCTTCTGACAAGCAAAGATTCATTTAACAACCACATTACTAATTTAAGAACTGCAGTGATTCACTTAACAACTGTACTAGTGAGAAAAGTCGTAAAATGGGGCAAAACTCACTTAACAAATTTCTCACTTAGCAATATAAATTTTGGACTTAATTGTGGTTGTACGTTGAGGACTACCTGAATAAACAGGGAAAAAACCCACAGTCACTAAATGTCTGGGTAGATTCTCAGTCATCCAAGTCCTAGCTGTCCCAAAAGTGCTTTTTCAAAAACTTTTATTTTTCCTTGAAGTCCTTTCTCTTCTCATCCAAGCAGCTTTTTCAGTTCTTTTCAAAAAGCATCTTTGGGACAACCATGATTTGGATGACTGAGAATCTCCATAGACATCCAAGAAGCTTCACTGTTTTTGACAGGATGGGGGGGCTATGAAGGTAATAGTTCTGACAGGAGGGGTGGGGGGAGTTGGAAGGCTCATATTTATTTGCAGTCATCTGGTCTTAGCACACTTCCTGAGAGTTCTTCAGGCCATTTGGGGGTTTATCTGATCCCACACTCACTAGCATTGATGACATTACTTAGTCCAACCTTAAATACTCAAAGAGCCATTTGGACCCCTTTCCCACAGAAAAGAAAACACCGGGAGCCACAAAGTCCTTCCTGTGCCGGACTATTTCTTGAGCGGCCACAGAACTAGCATATGTAGTTGAATTAAACATTCTGTTTCCTTCTGAAACTTTTCTTTTCTTGGATTTATCCATGGTTGGCCTACCAGGGGTTGAAAAGCTCAATAAATCTCGTGCCGGCGGGTGTTGCACATTGGCGGTTGTGACGCATATTTTGAGTGTCAGGGAGCCGCAGCACAGGGGTGAAAGAGCCACATGCGGCTCCAGAGCTGCAGGTTGCTGACCCCTGACCTAATCAGGTAATGAAATGGTTGCAGGCAAATTTCCAAGCTCAGTGAGCACCAAGTTCAACCATGATCCACGGAGATTCTCTCCTATTGAACTTACCGTCCTCAAGTATACCAAGTGTTCTAATAAGTCATCATCTTCTTTCACTACGCATCTCCGGGTGGTGTGATTCAATTCACAACCTATACAGAGACATCATTAAACCATACAGAAAATAGAAAAATAGAAAAGGATAACATTTACCACAAGATATATTTATCTGGGATAAGCTGCAAATGTATTTTGCATGTTTTCCTGAGTTTTTTTTACTCAATGTGATGGATTCTCCCTGTCTCTTCCCCCTTCCCAAAAACGAAGAGGGGAAAAATTACTTTTTGAGAGAGGGAGTTTTGCCACCCATCTTAGTTAAGAGTACTCTTAGTTAAGAGTACTGAGGCCAGTAATTGTACAATCTCTCCCCAACATTCTGCAGTCCTTCAGAATTCTTACACTTCAGTAAATTGCCAAAGGGGGATATGATATATCATGAAATTATTCAATCTACGTTATCTCTTTGGGGAGAAAAAAAGAGGTGAGAAATTACATCTAAAGTGTAACCTGAGATGATCAGAGATGCTCCAAATGGATACTACTGAGGAAGGGATTTGACCAGTCTAATTTGGCTACCAAAAATCTCAATTCATTTTTTAAAAAGCTACTAGCTGCCAACATGTCTTACCCCACAAGAGAGACACATGATTTCCTTCAGCAGAAGATGAATTTGAGGAAAGTGAGGTCATCTTGTTTAGGTAAATCTGGAATAAGATGTCAAGGAGGAGAAGGAGAAGATCTGAAAATATCAGAATATGATAATTCCAGAACTCCAGGAGAATTTAAGGAAGTCCCAACATATCTGGAGGGAAACAGGTTGATTAATGTTAGAAACCTTTGCACTATTCATTCCCCAAGCTCTTTTGGGTAAATGACAGCATGTACAGAGCTGTGAAGACTTTGATTGAAGCGCCTCTTCAAAATGCTTTGAGGCTTGAGTAAAGTAGGTCCCAGGCTTGCTCAAAAGCCCTACTAGACGGACTCTCACCTGGGGCACCCGGAAGAGAGAGGGTCTCATCAGAGCAACATTACTTTGCATATCTGTAGCACGTATTTCCAATGTCTTATGCAGATTTATTCCATTTTCAGGGCTGCTTATTTTTCTTGCAGAATAATAGCTGCATTATCATATCGGCTTCACACACTGCACTCAAAACATTATCAGATGTAAATTCCAGTCCACTTACAAAGGGTGCTGAGCCCCCTGGTGGTCCATTAATGCCATTGCCAATTTCTATTTGCAAACAGCTCATGTTGTTCAAAAGTGGACTTTCCTAGGATAGTTTCTGCAGCTGCTAGAGAGAATGTCTGGCTCACCAGCCTCCCCCTGGGGGTGGATGGCATGGCTCTGTAAAGGGATTATTATACAGAATTGACTTGGCAGGAGATATGCCACCGAGGGAAAGCAGGTAAGTGTTTTTGCAATTTACTTTTGGTTTAGTTTTGTGGTGTGAAACTGAGTACTGACCCTCCCTGTTACTGCCTAAGAGCTACCCAATGATTCTTGGCCAGCAACTGGCAAGTTGTAATTGGAAATCTGCAACACTGGCTGAGAGCTGGCAATTAAAGACCCAGTATGTAGTTGCTTCATTTCTTTTGTGAAATTGGAAAGCTTGGGTGAAGGAAAGTCATCTGTAGGCAATGAGCCATGGTTCATTTAACCTGGTTCACACATAAGCCATTCACAGGTGCATTCATCATATTGGATTAAAGTAGAAACTGTTCTCTGCTACCACCATGAATGGATTCAAATGGTTTCTAAGCCAAAATCAGCAAACCAGATTATATCGGTATGAATCCAGCCTTTGTCTCTACCACTTTGAATCTAGATGTTTTGCTTACTTGCTTGTTAATTTATAAGCAGACCTCATCACCAGAGGAGTAGAAACTAAATACTTGCATTTGCTACCTTAAAAGTAGTGTATACCTTAAAAGCCTATTGTAAGGCTTTTTACAACTATTTACAGTTGATTAGTAGCTGCAGTCAGACAAAATGCTGACCACCTTCAGTTTTAACTTTGGTTTTCTAGAAGACAAAGTTGTGCAGAACCAATCCAGTTCATTCATTTAAGAATTGGTTTGTTACCTATCATACTACAAGTAGTACTACAAAAGAGCCTTGGTAGTACAGGGGTTTAAGGCACCCTGTTATTAAGCTGGTTATTAAGACCAGCTGCCTGCAATTACTGCAGGGTTCGAATCTCGCCAAGGCTCAAGGTTGACTCAGCCTTCCATCCTTTCTAAGGTAGGTGAAATGAGGACCCAGTTTGTGGGGGCAATAAGCTGACTTTGTATAAAATATACAAAAGTATGAAGGCTATTGCTGAGCACATTGTAAGCCGCCCTGAGTCTTCGGAGAAGGGCGGCATATAAATCAAATTAAAAAAAAAAAAGTAGTCTTCAACTTATGACCAAGATTGAGCCCAAAATGTATGCTGTTAAGTGAGAAATTTGTTATGTGAATTTGCCCCGTTTTATGACTTTTCTCACATTTGTTAAGTGAATCCCTGACTTTGCTTGTCAGGAGGTCACAAAAGGGGATCAAATAACTCTGTGACACTGCAACCGTCATAAATGTGAGTCGGTTGTCAAGCATCCAAATGCCAATCATGTGACCCTGGGGATGCTGCAATGGTCATAAGTGTGAAAAATGGTCATGGCACTTTTTCAGTGCTGTTGTAACTTTGAAATATTCTACTAATAACCAATATGCCATTACAATATTTTGACATGCTGTAGAAGGGATATCATAGTTACCAGAAATAAAGTTTTCACCTTATTTTTTTAGTAGCACTCAGATTTCATAGCATGTTATGTTCTAAACAGCTTTTTAAGGGAGGAGGAAAAAAATCCTCTTTAAAGAAGACTGCAGCAAAAGTGCAAACAACCCTCTGTTATGTATTTTGCATGACAACCTACAACTAAACAAAAGTTTAGTGTATTCAACTCCTTTTTCTAGATCCACGCCACACACTGAACTATAAACTGTGAAAAAACTGGGTTTGTCCAACATACACTAATTGGAAATGTTCAGTATGGGTTCAGTATGTCATATGAACACAGCTGAGGCTAAGCAAAATACTACAGAAAGTTATTTAAGGCCCAGGGTAGGTAGTGCAGAAAAATAAGATACTTGTAAACCTAAACAAGCATAAGTTTAGGATGCTAATGGCATATATACTCTCACTCTTAACATATACAGCCCATGAATTGCTAAACAAACACAAATATAATCATAGTTCTTCATCAAACTGTGCGTTGAATATATTCCTACTATTATCTCGTAGAATAACTTCTTTGGAAGGGATAACACAAACCAAGCTACAACAAACATACACCCAGTATTTTAAAAAACCACATACTTAGCAAATATATCAGCTATAGCAAGCTACTTACAGAATGAATAGAGCATTAAAAACTTGGGGAGTTTTATGTAAAACTCCTTTATATGCTCCACCTTTTAGCCGTTCTAAGATGAGGAGCCACACCCCAGGTGTTACAGGCCTGTAGCTTTAAATTCCCCCTCCGTAGAGTTGTATAACTTTACTTCCTCTTTTTACACAGAATCAGTAGCATGAATGAAACTGTCTACTTAAAATTTGCTTGGTTTACAAGTTAACCTCTTTGGCCCTATTATTGTCAGGATGAACCTCATTTGCTTGCTATTTCAGGCAGGTTTCTATGTGTTGAGTTGGGAAGCTCTGATATCCCAGGTGCTATTAAACTGCAATTCCCAGAAGCCTCAACCGGCGTAGCTAATGGGGGAAAAGTCTGTGCAGTGTAGTTCAGCAGCATCTACCATCATCAGGTGTCCTGTGCTTCTGAAGAATGGTGGTAGTATGGTTGGAGGTAGTGGTTAAAGCATCAAGCAAGAATCTGGGAGTCCTTGAGTTTTGGGCACAAAGCCACCTGAGTGATCTTGTGCCAACCAATTTTTTCAGCCCTAGGAAGAAGGTAATGGCAAACTAGTTCTCTGAAAAACCTTTCAAGAAAACTATATGGAATTGTTCAGGCAGTCTCCAGATACTGAACACAATTGAAGGAAAGGGGGAAAAAAACACTAGCAGCTCTCTGATTATTAACAACTTTCACTATAGTTCATTCTGGCTGTGATGCTGAGAATTATAGCTCAACAGCAGCTGCAAGGTCAGGGGTTAGTAAAAAGCAAATATTCCATCATTTTTCACTTTCTTGGGTTTGCAGAAGGAGCACACAAAAACTTTATTTCTGGTAACTATGATACCCCTTCTATGTCAAAATATGGAAATGGCATATTAATATGTAGTGTTGATAGTACATTAATAATTAATAGTAGTATTAATAGTAATACTAATTTTACTGATCACTAATTACTAATTTTATTAATAATTAGTATTAATAGTAGAATATTAAGTATATGTCTAGGCACTTTCTTCCAGTAACGTGAATGACAACTCGGTCCAGCAGGGGGCAGCAGGAGACAACTTATAATTGAGTCTTCAAGCTAGAGCAATTTTCCAATTAAAGTAAACCCAATAAAGCAAATCTTTCTTTTTATGCTTGGGAGAAAACTAAAAGAAACTAGTTCTGATCTTATAAATGAGGCTGAAATAGAAAAATGTGTTCCAATTCCAGAATTTAATGCTGACAACAAATTAATTCGTTTTGTCAGATGTGGGCAACCAACGGAAGCTTTGAATGTCAGCAGTAAAACTAGCTTGTTAGATTTCATCAGCACTTAAGAAAAGTGTATAATCATTTGAAGGGCTGCATGTAATGGATAGTCCATGTTGTTACATTGTCCATTTTGTCCATGATGCTACAAGAAGTCTTTGCCCTAATACACTTGTTTTTAAAAGTGCTGCAGGATTTTTGTTTTGTTAGTAAGGTTGCAAATGTCTGAAGATGCAACCAGGGGTGAAATCCAGTAGGTTTTGACAGGTTCAGTAGCGGAAATTTTGAGTAGTTCGGAGAACCGGCAAATGCCACCTCTGGCTGGCCCCAGAGTGTGGTGGAAATGGAGATTTTGTAATATCCTTTGACCAGGAGTGGGGAGGGAATGGGGATTTTGCAGTATCCTTCCCCTGGAGTGGGGTGAGAATGGAGATTTTGCAGTATCCTTCCCCTGCCACACCCATCAAGCCACGCCCACCAAGCCACACCACGCCCACCAAGCCACACCCACAGAACCGGTAGAAAATATTTTTGGATTTCACATTTGTCTGTGGAGATTTTCAGTCATCCAGATCATGGTTATCTCTGTCAGATGTAAATGCCTTATTCTCTAATGTGTAAATAGTGTACAAACAGGGTATCAGGGGTTAACTTATTCTTCACTTCTTAATGTATTCATAATTCACCACTCCCACATATAGCTCCACCCATTGTATATATAAGGAGCTACCTACACCCTTTTCCTTGCTTCTATCTGTGAATATTCAGTGAATATAGAATGCCTAATGTAAATAAAAGAATATATAGTTAAATCTTTAACTCTTGCTAATCTTATTGAGTCTGATCCTGAAAATATTGCAACAATCTCAAAGGTGTTTTTTTCAAAAGGCAACTGGATTTTCTTGGTTTTTCCTTGAAGACATTTCATTCTTCATCCAAGAAGCTTCTTCAGTCCACCCAAAAACAAAGGCAAAACAAGTGAAAAAAATACGACTGCTTCTGTCCACTACTGGAGACTGCCACAATCCTCAATATGTTGTCACCCAAGTTCCATGTAATTAAAAGTGAAGGAGCTGGAATATAGCTGGTAGTTCTCCATTTGTATTGCTTCTCTCTACAACGTTCATAAACATAATGATATCTGAGTTATTTTGGTCTTATTTTACAATAGCTTTCTCTAATTCATGGGTGTCAAACTCACTGCGTCACATTTTTTTTTAATTTGATTTATATGCCACCCTTCTCCGGAGACTCAGGGCGGCTTACAAGGCGTTAAGCAATAGCCTTCATTCTTTTGTATATTTTATACAAAGTCAGCTTATTGCCCCCACAAACTGGCTCCTCATTTCACCTACCTTAGAAAGGATGGAAGGCTGAGTCAACCTTGAGCCTTGGAGAGATTCGAACCAGCAGTAAATTGCAGGCAGCTGTGTTAATAACAGGGTGCGTAACCACTGTACTATCATTGCCGTCATGTGATGTTTTGCAACATTTCCCCCCTTTGCGGAGCTGGGGTGGGCGTGGCCTGTACATGACACATCCGGCCCGCAGGCCGCCAGTTCAACACCCTTGCTCTAATTAAATGCCTTCTGGACATTTTGGATTACAACTCCTAACATTCCATGTTGGCTAGAGATAGAGTCATGCTGATTAAATAAACCAGGACCATTTGCAAGGCTGAAGCTGCATTTTTGTAAAAAAAATATATGGCTTAATCCATAACATGGTTTAGTTGGTTTTGGCTTAGTGTTTTATCTGAGACCAAGAATTGTGCTCCATAACCAAAAGTTTATGCCCAAGCATGTTGTGTGAAGTCAGCCATAATGATGTCAAAGTTGTATAAGTTTTGTGCAATGAATAAAACAAGTCAACATCTGGATTTTATACTTGCTAAGAACTCATTAACCACAGTTTGCTGGGTTTAAACAACCAAGGCAACTTCATACCATCCAAATAATGGCTTACCATAAATCAAGAGTTTGAACCTACTTCTGAAATTCTATTTTCAGAGTTTGACATCACTGAAACTTGGTTGAGACCAATGT